GGACCTGGGCCAGTCTCTGCAGGAAGAGCTGCCTCTCATGCTGGCCCAGGTGCTGTAGTAGCTGAGGCTCTGATTGGGCTTCTGTCACCCAGATTGGCCACTGGGCTACACTGCTGGGCTGCTTGCCTTAGTGAGTGGCACCCAGGGTGTGCCAGCCTGTGCTCTTGCCCCAGGTGAGTTCTGCATTATTCGGATGCCTGTGAACCCCTAGGGTCTCTGTGTGTACTTTGCTCCATAGATGCACCTGCTGTGGCTGTACTTGTGCATGAAAACTCAGGAGAGTGGCCCAGGAGCTGTTCTGACTACATCGCAAATCCTAGCATCAGGAGTATCTCCAAGAAATCCAGGCCGTTAGTGTTTGTACTAGAGTGCCTGCTGTCAAATCAGTCTAGACCACCAGTTCTCCACGTGTGGCTCAAGAATCTCTGGGGATCCCTGAGACCCCACTCCCCAGTGGTCAGTAAGACCACATCTCCTTCATATACCTCAACCAGAACCAACATATCCCAACAGATTGAAGGTGAAGCAGGGAGAAGAATCCAGCTATCTTCTATTAAGACATATAAGAGGGGAGTCTAAGTGGCTTAGTCCGTTAAGTGTCCAACTTCAGCTCAGGTCATGATCCCACGGTTCATGGGTTCGAGCCCCACATCGGGCTCTGTGCTAATAGCCCAGAGCCTGGAGCCTGCTTCAGATTCTGTGTCTCCCTCTTTCTCTCTGCCTCTCCCCAGCTTGTGCTTGTGCTTGTGCTTGTGCTTACTAGCTCTCTCTCTCTCTCTCTCTCTCTCTCTCTCTCTCTCTCCTTCTCTCTAAAATAAATAACATTAAAAGAAATTTGAAAAAGTCATATAAGAGATGTGCAGAAGTGTAAAGAAATGCCACCCTTATCAATAAATTTGTCTTGAAAATAGCATATATAGTTGTTATATATTTTAATATATAATGTTTCTTTTTTAATAAATAAATATTTAAAATTTTCAGTATTGAATGTAAATATGGCAAACATCAATAGATGTCATCCATACAAATAAAGCTCTTTGGGGTGTAACCAGTAGCTTTTAAGAGTGTAGAGGGGCGGGGCGCCTGGGTGGCGCAGTCGGTTAAGCGTCCGACTTCAGCCAGGTCATGATCTCGCGGTCCGTGAGTTCGAGCCCCGCGTCAGGCTCTGGGCTGATGGCTCAGAGCCTGGAACCTGTTTCCGATTCTGTGTCTCCCTCTCTCTCTGCCCCTCCCCCGTTCATGCTCTGTCTCTCTCTGTCCCAAAAATAAATAAACGTTGAAAAAAAAAATTAAAAAAAAAAAAAAAGAGTGTAGAGGGGTCCTGAGATGAAAGCACTGGAGAACTGTTGGTATTAAGCAAAGCAGGAGCGTGGGAGGAAGTGCAGCAAGTTTGGACATTTGGTGGGGCGGGAGGGGGGGGCGGTGCTTTCCAGCTGTTGGCACCTTAGCAGGGCCAGGGGAGGGCCCACTATACATAGCATGTTGACAAGAAAGCTGATGAAACACAACCTTAGAGCAGGTAGTCCCCTTTAAAAGAAATATTCCATACACTTTCCACAACTAAGATCTTTCTTATTCATGCTTACGATGAACTCTTTAATGTGCTGTTAGATCAGAAGATCCATGTCCTTCAAAAGATATAAAATGTTCCATGTGCTGTCTCAGACCAAAAGAAATCAAGTCCAGAGCAAACACACATCTAAACATAAAAATGCAATCTATAAAAATCTTAGAAAAAATATTTTTAGAATACTGGAGAAGACCTTCTTAATCAAACAGGAAGCTTGGAAGCCATAAAAGAAAAAGTATTTCATGACATAAAAATTTATATCTTTTATACAGAAGCTCACAGCAAAGTTAGTGACAGACTAGGAGAAAATACTTGCAGCACATGTAACAAAGATTTGTAGTCATAATATGTAAAGACTGCTTACCAGTAAACAAGAGAGTTACAAATAAACTGATATGAACTAACATGATTATGAAAAAGAAATTGCCAATCAGGGAAAGACCTAAAATTACTAGTAAAACAGATTAAAACAAGATATATGTTTTTGTCCATCAGATTCGTGCAGATGAGAAGAGTGAGTATTCAGTGTTGATGGGCATGTGGGGCAAGAGCCTTTTCATGAGGCAGGGTCTCAGTAGCTATCAGCACTTAAAAGGATATGTCCTTGACCCAGAAATTTCAGTTTTAGGAATCTTTCCTGTAGGGATACTTAAAATGTGGGTCAACACTCACATTACACACATACATACACATGCACATACAATCTTTTGGTCACAATAGAAAAAAGCGGGGGGGAACACCTAAATATCTATCACTTGGAAAATATAAATTCCAGTATATCAGTGTTCTGGAATAGATAGCCACCATAAAGAATGAGGTTGGTTTTTATATATTCTTGTTTTAAAATGCCGTGATACATTGGGTGGAAAAAAGCCAGCAATGTATTTGTACAATGATTCCACTCATTAAAAGAAGAAAGCCCTTATTTATTAAGCAAATGCACAGATATACACAATGGGTGAACTGTATGAACCCCAGAATGGCATGGGGTTCAGTGGGGTCAGGGAATCCTGCAGGCCTACAAAGGACTGTTACATTGTACACTATTTCCTTCTGTATTGTTTAAATAATTTAAATTGTTTAAATAAGTCTTCATTATTTTTATAATAAAAATCCTTTTAAAAATCATAGATACACCCCAAGTGCCCATAGAATTATGGAAAATATAATTTGATTGCATTGCTACAGATGGTTATCTACATAGCTTTCTATATTCAGGAAAACATAACCTAGAAAGACGTCCTTCAGGTGAAGAATTAACCCATGAAGACTTTGTACAGGACCCCTCACTGTAATCATCACTTTTCCTATTTTTCCATGTCCATAAAGCAATGAAGCTTTTTTGAGAAAAGAAAACATTTGTCAATTTCAGGGCATGATTTAACCTGATGATCAGCCATTAGGCCTTGGGGTGTGTCCAGAACAATGACAGCAATGCAAGGTGGGGGTGAGGTGGAGAGCGCAGCACCTGGGTCTCACCGACAGCCAGGCTTCTCTGTCAGCCATGCCCATGAGATCCACCCTTTCACTGCCCACTAGGGCTGTACTCAGCAAGCCCACCCGGCCACAGCCACTCAGCACACAGGCATGGCAGTTCGGTTCCCTCATACTCAGCTCTCCATTCTCCAGGGTGCATATTTGGGCCAGCCCCACGATAGGTGCAGGTGCAGTCCAGCCAGGTCCAGCAAGAATGTATGTATATCTTTGTCCCTCGGGTATGTAGAGGCCGAAGGCAGGAGTGGAGGGGTAGTGTCACAAGACAGGACATGGTGGGATCCAGGAACACCCTCCATTTACTCCCATGCCAGTTCTAGCCCTTCTGTTTCCAGAGTATGGATGGTGGGGGCATATAGGTGAGATTTGGGGAGGAGGGTGCTACCCCAGTCCTCTCCTGCATCATCCCAAATGTGAGCCCATACAGTGAGAGATAACACCTCCCCACTGGCTATCAGCCTGGGTCGTGCAGCAAGAGCATGTGTGTGTGTGTGTGTGTGTGTGTGTGTGTGTGTGTGTGTATGCATATGCACGCATGTGCATATGCATGCTCTGTATGTATGTATATCCATATCTGTGTGTATTCAAACACATGCATACATGTGTGTATATGTGTACATGAATGCAGCATGCCCGTGTGTGTACATGTGTGTTGCTGTGCTCATGCGTATACATGCATGTGTGTATGTGTGGGTGTATGCATGTGTGTGTTACTGGTTCTAGGCAGTAACACAATTGACAGAGCTCTCCCCTTTTTCTTGCTCTTCATTAAACCCCACACCTCCCCACCTCAGAGCAAAGTTGTGTGCTGTCTTCCTCATCTTCAGAGCCTCTCACTCTTTAAGTTGACACCCCTACACAATCACTTCCTTTGATTGTGTGGGGAGACTCAGAAAGACAGGTGGGCAACATGCAGCAAGGCCGTGCTAGAAAGCAGAAAATGTGTGTTCTAGGGTTGACCTTGAGCAATGGGACTCTGCTTCCTCCCTGCAAAACTGAAGGACTTGAATTGCCCATCTTTAATTGCCAACTCAGTGCGCTGTTTTGCTAGAAGTAATTCCATGGCACTGTACTAGAATGTGAAGTGTGTGCTAATGGCAGTTAGAAAAGGCTTTGTAATGGCAGCGTCAGGAACCTGGTTTCCGACTGCTCATAAAATATGGTGTCTGCAGGGTTAGAGACAGTGGAGATGTGTTTTCTAAATTACCTCCAAAGGCAAAGTAAAGGAGGCAAAGGAGTAAAGGAGGTTGGAGCTTTTTATCAATATATTATCCCTTCAGTATAATGTGTAGATTCTGTGTGGATGTGCTTTGGGAAATGTGACTCAACCATAAAGATAGGGTTAACTTTCCTGGAGAGATTACACTGGAAGGAGCAGCTTCAGTTTTGTGAGACTTTCTTACCTCCCCTGGGTGGCAGGGCCATCTGGCAGGACCAGCAATCAGATGTTGGAGAGGTGACTGCACTCCTGGACCCGCCTGCCCAGGGCAAAGGGGCAGCGTGCAGCGGCCAGCTGGTGATCTGCACACTGGGCTAGATATTCGAGTTCCATGTGTGAATGGGGTCAGTTACAACACAGCCCCTCTAGAGGTCTTGTAGAGCCAACAGAATACGTTTTCCTAAGGCCCTACTCATTATAAAATTTGCAAAGACAAGGTTTGTCTGAGCACCATGCTTGGGCTGAACACCAGAGGCCTACTGGAAAGAGCCTCATGCCTGGGTCTCTCTTTCTTCAAATGTTATTCAACTGTTTGTGCTTGTGTGTGTGTGTGTGTCTGACAATGGTCTTGGGCAGCAGGCCTGGGGAAAAATAGTTTGTCTCTGGGAGGACCAGGTGCTTGCAAGAAGCGCTTGGTGACTGGTGGGTGTGTTGTTTAGAGAACTGGGTGACTGCACAGGGGATATGTCGCTAATATGCCTTCCCTTTCCATCGCAGCGGAACTAGAGTTTGCCCAGATCATCATCATCGTCGTGGTGGTCACGGTGATGGTTGTGGTCATTGTCTGCCTACTGAATCACTACAAAGTCTCTACACGGTCCTTCATCAACCGCCCACATCCAAGCAGGAGGCAGGAGGACGGGCCACAACCGGTAAGTGTGGCCTGAGCCTTTCGGTGCTGCCTAGGCCTCTGTCTCGGGCTCCAAATAGGCTGGGTGCCAGTAAGAGCCCCAAAGCGGGACGGCCTCTTGAACCCACCTGCTATGGTCCGAAGCATTGAAAACTCTATGGAAGGTTCTGATACTTCAAGTAAAGCATGTGCGTCATGAGAATTCTGCTCAGTGAGTCCTCACAAACTAAAGACACCTGTGTAACCACTCAGAAAAGAGATAGGACCAGCCCCCAGGAACACACCCTGGCCGTACTCCTAGGCCTGCCCCCCACAAGGTCAAAACTACCTGCACAGCTGTCTGCACAGATTAGTCTTACCTGCTTCTGAACAATATGTTTAACAATAGAATCATACAGTAGGTGTTCTTTTGTGTTTGGCTTCTTTCACTAAATCACCCATGCTGTTACATGGAGACCTGTTTTGAAAACTGGCCCTGGAGGTGTCCGGTGATCCTTAATACATTTGTGCAGCACTACCTGCATCTGTAAGACGTCACTTGTCTGAGATCAGCAGCATGGCAGGTGTGGGCAAGCTAGAAGTGGCGGGACAGCAGGGGCTCAGGGCCTCCTCAAGTGGATCGGGCTGGGCCGGGCTATGTAAGGGACTCACAGAACAGCCCACAGTAAGGCTCTACAGGTTGTTCTTTTTACAGTTTCTGGCTACTTCTTGCCCTGAGTCACACTCCTCTGGAAAATAAAATACATATTCAGTTAAACCGGTCTGTGATCTGCGCTTAGGAGGCAAAAGGCCACTGGCACTTTTTATTCTGAGCTGCTTTTACAATCTGTGATTCTCGTGGCCTCCAGTGAAAGGCTTGGGACTGTGAGTTTAGACAATTACAAGTTCTTGGTTTTCTGGTGGGCAAAAATGATACTGGATACTCAGCCCCTCAGAGCATGTGTCAGGACCAGGGAGGTCTGGTAACTGGCCTAGGGAGGCCATCATGGGTTCTGACAGGCTACTGGGCTCAGGGCCCCTGGACCCCTCAGGAGGGCAGGGTCATAGTCCATCAGGGCTGCAGAGTTGCTCAGTGACCCATCTGCTCTGCTGTCCTCATGGGAGGAACTGAGGTTTGCTGGGCATTCTGTGTCTGAGGCAGGCAGGGAGAGAGGGAAGGGATGGGACTGCTGTGCACCACCCGTCAGACTCACAGAGATGAGACAGGATGCCATGGGGCTATGGGGAGCAGTCCTGAGAAAGAACCCCTTTCTCTCTCTTGCTTTCCCTTGTCCTCTGCTGTCCTCTTCCTTTGTCTCTCTGGGTCCCCAGTTGGGCCCACTAGCCTCCTCAGGCCCTATTAACATGGCTTTCCTCACAGCATGACAGTTTCCCTGTGGTCCTGGGCCCTTTGTCATCCCAGCAGTCTGGTACCTGAGGGGTCCAGACTCACTGAACGCTGGTGTCCTAATGCCTATAGATTCCCCACTGTTGTATAAGGACAGTTCAGTTACCTAAAGGAGAGAACTAACTCTTCTGAAGTTCTGAGCACAGAATATACACAACTCCCCTGAGTTTAAAGGGAAAGGACAGAGAGAAAATCATACTCACAGCAACAGTTTCAGAACTGCAAAAGGATGAGCCATCACTGCTTTGCCTAAGCCTTAATGCAAAGACTGGAAATGCTGACTCCAGCCTTGGGGGAAAGAGGAAAACTATCCTTATTCATTGTCATCAATAGATAGCTCTCAAGTTTCTATGAAGTACCTGCCATGAATTTACCCAAGTTCCCTGCCTTAGGCTTTCTGTTCCAATGCCTGAGGTATTTGGAGCCACTGCACACAGGGAACTCAGAATGCTTTTCTTATGCCTAGCCTGGGTCCCCACCCACCTCTGTCTTCCCCACATATTTGCTTTGGGGATCATCTTGCTTCTACCTGATTCACCTTGCTTGGTGAAGTGGCTCCTTCTTCCACTCCTCAGTACATATATGGCCATTCCTGCTGTCACTGCCCCCATCCATGTATCCTCAAATTGCCCATGGGTCTGCTCCTCAGACTGGGAGCTCCATGACCCAGTCAGGTGATGGGACAGGTACACACACAATTATACCCTTACCAGCAAAGAGGTTGCAGCAGGATGACAATTTTACAAAGGCAGAAAAGTGAAATTTTAAGTTTGTTTTAATCAGAATGTGTCCTCTGTTTCATTTGGGAATGGCTTTGAGTGGGGCACCTGGGTGGCTCAGTTGGGCATCCAACCCTTGATTTTGGCTCAGGTCATGATCGTCATGGTTCATGGGATCAAGCCTTGCATTGGGCTCTATGCTGGCAGCATGGAGCCTGCTTGGGATTCTTTCTGTCTCTCCTTCTCTCTGCCTCTCTCCCACACTCACGTGCGTGTGCACTCTCTCTTTCAAAATAAATAAATAAACTTTTTTTTTTTTTTTTTTAAGGGAATGGGTTTGTGTCAAGGCCTCTTCCTGGGGCAGTGGCTCACCTGTGTCCACCCTGTTCCAGGACTTCTTGGGCAACAGTGCCTCCATTTCTTGACATTGAAAAGATAATTAAGTGATTTTTAGATGCCCCTTCAGGGCTATACAGCAAGTGAAGATAATCAGTATCTAGTGATTGTGTCTGCAGAGGTCTTTATCACACTCTGTGCCTAATTTTGTTAATAACGTCTGAAAGTTTTACCCCTGAGAGCTGGACCCTAGTTCTGAAATGCAGGCTGCACACAGCTTAGGGTTTAATTTCTTGTTACTACTATACTATTTTTTCTTTTCTTTGAGTGGCCCAGCACTGACTGGCTGCTGTTGCTTCTCAAAGCTTGGATTTTCCTCCTCAATAAAATGAGAATATGGATATTGCAAAACTTAGCAATGCGCTGTGTTCACCATTTCAAAAAAAATTTTTTTAACGTTTATTTATTTTTGAGACAGAGCATGAATGTGTTTACCATTTCAAACTCAAGATGTATTTTAACCCAGTGACCAGAGACCATTCAGGCCCAGTCTGTAGCTCCATATCATGACTAGGACTATTAGCCTAATGTATAGTCCAAAGAGAGAGGAGAGAGAGTGAGAAAAAAAACCTTACTTTTCTTCTGAACACAAATACAAATGTAGACAGCACTGTGGGCCACTTACACTCTTTCTCTCTACCCAGGAATGTGCCCCCAACCAGGCTTCTTGCCTCCTACTTGTCTACCTCTCCTCCCTAATGCCTTTATAAGGCATAAGGAAGAAATGCTGCTTCCCTTAGTACAGTACTGGGAGAGCAGTTGATTAATATACACTCATGGTTCCCAATTGGAGTGATTATGCCCCCTAGGGGACATTTGACAACATTGAGAGCCATTTTTGGTTGTCATAATTAGGGAATGCTACAGGGATGCTCTAAACATCCTGGAATGCACAGGGTAGCCCCCGCAACAAGGAACTATCTGACCCTAAATATCAGTAGTGCTGAAGTAGAGAACCTCTAATCTCACTAGTGTTGAATGCCATCCTTCCTAGAGGCGCTTTGCTGTTCAAAGAGGTTGCCTATTAACATAAGTGGATCTCTCATGGCTGGCTCTGAGGTTTCAACAGAGAGAAGAGTACACTTCCCAGAGGCTTGGCAGAAAGTGTTGGGGGTCCCTTGCATGATCAGAGGGTCCTGGTTTGAGACTCTGCCTTGGGAATAGTTTCCCCTACCCATTTCTACTTTCCTTTGTTCATTCAGTCATTCACTGGACATGAACCAGACATTGAGCAAAATAATGAAGGAACAATGTGAGGTTTCCTTGCCCCTGACCCTCCCTGCTAGCATCAGCAGCATCCAGATGGCTAATTCTACTTGGCATTTTCTCAATCTTAATTGGGAGAGGCTAGGGGTCTCCAGTGGCCATTTGTATATATCAAGTGGCTGTTGGCTATAGGAGGAGTCTGGGATGGGGCGTGAGGACTCAGCATGAGAAAGGAAGGCTCTGCTCTTACTGACAGAGCTCATCGCTGACAGCCTCTTGGGTTCCCAGTGGCATTGTGCATATTTGTACTCCTTGGGGGAAAGGTGACTGGTGAAGATGGATGCCTTTGTGGTTACTGCTGTCTGTGTGGTTTCATGTCTGTCACTAGAACACCTGAGGGCTACTGAAGCACCTTTCCCGATGTCAGCGTCTAAATCCCACCTTCCCTGGAGCCTGAATGGTGGAGCTGCAGTGCCCTCTAGTTGGCAGCTTGTGGCTGTGGAATGCCCCTTCCAGCCTCACCTGGGTGAGCATCTCATGGTCTGAGCCTGTCATTGCTGACATCCCCTCACTTCTGGGAGCCTTTTAGCCCCATTTGTTCTAAAACCATGTGAGGTCTCCATGAGCATGTTAGTAAAAGGTATATTTATTTATTTATTTTTAAATATTTATTTATTTTTGGGAGAGAGAGACAGAGAGAGAGAGCAAGCTTGTGCAGGCGAGAGCAGGGAGAGACAAAGAGAGAGGAGAGAGAGAATCCCAAGCAGGTTCTGCGACATCAGCACAGAGCCCAACGTGGGGCTTGATCTCACAAACTGCAAGATCATGACCTGAGCCGAAATCAAGAGTCAGATGCTTAACTGACTGAATCACCCAGGTGCCCAAAAGGTATATTTATTTTAAACTTGTGAGAAGGGCTGTGCATCTAATTTATCAACTTCTCTGTGATTTGGTGTAACACTTTGTTAAGTTTATTTTTATATATTTCTTCCAGAAGACTTGTTAGTCAAGATTAAAAAATAAAGGACAATAGTTGGATTTTGTTTTCAAGGAAGAGGTTGCACATGTAGATGTTCTGATTTGACTGAGGAAATTTCACTGCCAAGATGTGCGCTGCCCCTCTGCTCACTGATGATTTGCACTTCAACCAAAGGGAAAAGCAGAACTGAGGTTAATAAGATAGAATCTTAGCTGTGAATATTCCTAGTTCTCAGGGAGATTCTTCTGGAAAATGGTTGGTTGGAACAGTTGCCCCCTTGGGCCAAATGCCAGACTCACCCTGATTCTGGGAGGTTTGCTTTGTAAAGTCAAAGA